GATGAATCCGGAACTAGTCTACTACATATATAACTTTGTGGCTTTGAAAGGGATACTTTATTTTCTTCGCACACAACATTAGCAGCATGCGAACGTTCGCTTTGTATTGATCGAATTAATGGAAAATATGATACTTCATTACTTAAATATCACGTATCTGTGAAAGATTTATTCTCTAATCCAACATTGATTAATAGGGCCACTTCAGGGGAGACGTATAAAATGCAATTGCGATGTATCCTATTTATTCTATTGTGACAGAATACATTTTAATGGTAAAAATGATCTGTTTTATTATTCTTCTATTGTTTGGTACTCTGCTATCGTTTACCAAATGTGAACTATCAAAAGATTTTGGTATCATGATTTTATATTTGACCGATCGGCATTCAAGCGATTACAATCGCTATGGATGCTGGTAAGTTTGACAAGTTAAAAATATTATTTTAAACACACCTCCATATTCAGGTGTGGTACTGATGCTTCAAAGGCTACTCATACCATAACCATTGACGAAACAGATTATTGTTGTAAAATGCAATTGGAATGCTATGACCATATAAAAGGAATGCATGAATCATCTATGGCTGATTGGAAATATCGTACGATTTATTACGATAATCAAATACAATGTGTTGAATTTGATGGAAGTCCTAATCGCGATTTGTGTTTATGTGATAAGCGCGCTGCTGAATGTTTTAAAGGAGCGCTGTCTAGCTATAGTTATGACAAGAAAGACATGAGTTTATCGTCGGATTGCCAGCCAAAAGGTCAGTAGACACGTATTTGTTTTGTGTCGAAGAACTCGACTCATCGAAATCATGAGCAGTGCTAGATAGAACAGTCTGCGTATTATTCAATTAGATAGGCAACGAATGTTGGTACTTTTTAGCTCGAAGTTTATGAAAATGGAGTCAAATATAATCATGAGCGTTCGTGAAAAATATTCACTCATAGTGCTAGGTAGCTCCGATATTATCTAGCTCAGGCAGAAAAATGTTCGCTCCAACTCCAACTCCGGTGATAGACTAAGTTTTACAGATTCAGTTTGACCACAATAATTGTCTTCATCGGTTCTATTTGAAACCGCCAGATAGTCATCAATTTAGTCAGAGATCTTTTCTAGAAACAGAGATATATTTTCGATGACGTACGATCCATTAGACTAGTTTCAGATTTCGCAGAAATTCATTTCAAGTATTTCACGATTATCAATGAATTTTTACTAGAGATATTTCAATGTGAGCACATCCGAAGATAGTAAACGGATTTGCCGTATGCTTTTAGACACCATCCTTGCTCACCATTCACTCATGCGAAAGTAACTGGTCTCTTGTGAATTATGAATTTTGCAGTAATCCGCCAAAAACTTTTTCAAAATTCATTGTTTGATTGCCTCTATTATAGGCTTAGTACTTTTTTAGTTCTTTAAGAAATAATATGAAAAATACTAGTCCAAAACTTAATTATAAAAATATTTAGAGTCACGATTATTACATCTCAAAATAGTTCGTTTTTTAAAAATTACTCTAATTTTATTTTACGTAGTCCTTTGTCTCATGGAAAGAAGCTAATTAAGCCGTTTTGTAGACTTTCAAAAGCCATACCACTTCGATCACATGTGATTCAAATCTCCAGTTTAGAACCTATATGAATATGCCACTTGTTGTTTGTTTCATATTCGAATTATTCCATGTATACCATTGTAGTCTATTACAACCATTAGGAACTTGAGCTAAAGTGCAACGATTGAAGGCCGAGGTTTTTCTGAGTAAAAATGTGTTGCCTAATCGAGACACACAAATAACGTAAAGTTCTTTTTTTCAACGACGATTCTCAGCAACCATCGAAATAAATAACGAAAAATTTGATTCCATGAATCTTCCATAGCTCTTAATAGACAGAAATCGTAGTATCATGTTTTTTTGGGTCAAGGTGTCATACGTTTTTGGAACACGTTGTTTTGGATTTTCGAACTTCATCTAAACTAATTAGTTCGAAATTTTTTGACTTTGTGCAGATTTAATGGAAAATTACATCATTGGAAAGAACTTTAAAAACAATGAGCAAGATGGATACATGTTCTCGAAAGTTTATAGTTAAGTCCCCAGCAAATTTCATTTTAAAGTAGATTTCTTAACTGAAATAGCTAGAAATTACAAAAATGAAACCGAAAATTAATTGAGACATGTGGTAGAAAAAAGCCTAGCAATTTCTCATCTTTTATTTCATTTAGGAGCTCCTAGAAGAAAATCTTTTTAGCAAAAGATTTCTGGTTTTTTAGTCTACCCAATACAAAAAGAAAATTTGAGTTTTCTTTTAAATCGGTTTTAGCAGCTTCAATTTAATCTGTCAGAACATAAAATGGTCAAATTACATGTTTAACTGGTTTTTGCAAGATTTCACTAATAGATGGGAACCAAAGTTGTAATCACTTTATGTAGTCAGAAAAAGAAAAGCCTTAGCTAAAGAGTGTCGATAAAAAAATATTTCAATCTGATCAAAATGAGTGCATAGAGAACGGTGGGTGTGAGTGTAGATGCGAGAATATTTATTTTCTTTTCTCTTCTCTTCTTCAACGCCCACATCCATACCCACATTCAATGAAAAACATTACTTTAGATTGTTGACTAGAAATTGAAATGTAAGTGTTTTCATGCTTGAACCGCAGCCCTATAATCCGAGTGCAATTCGCATACCTATGCCTCAAGAATGAACGACTAGATCTAGAGCTTTGGATGTTAAAGTAGTTATTTCTTAAGATTCGGTAATGAGAGGAGATTTTTAATGGAAATGTTCCAGAAGTTCGTAGAAGCTACTTTCAAATACTCTGTCTCCTTCCTGTAAAGCTCTTTTAGACGTAGTAGAAGTATTACTCCTTCTACAAAGGCGATTATTCGAACCGTTTTGTATAAAGTGGGAATGTGGTCGGCTTCCAGGAAAACTGAGGTAGATTGATCGGGACTAATATCTCAAAAACAAAATTTACTGTCCCCTCTCAATCGTCTACTTCCCCTTACGTTTAAAGCCCATGTAAGCCTCCGCTTTTGGAAGGCCTTCTAATACTAGTGTAGGAGTTGTATTGCGTGGAGAACTTCAATTAATGGTCTAAGAAAAATGCTCCATAGAACAATGCAACAGAATATTGCTAAAATGTAAGAAATAATTTTTCCTGTTATTGTTATAGTTACTGATATTGCTCTTCGCTGGAATCCAGTAGGAGTCACAGTTGCCGGCACTACTGGAATGCCGGGTGCAGCTCAAAATCTATTGAATGCACCTCACAGTTTGGCAATGGATTCGACCAATGCATTATACATCTGTGACGCTGGTAACAGTCGAATTCAAAAATGGGTTCCAGGCGCTTCGAATGGTACAACAGTGGCTGGCCAAGCAAATGGAGCAGCTGGATCGAGTGACGCCCATTTCAATCGTCCTTCGGGGATAGCTATCGACTCGGATGGAAATGTATTTGTGGTTGATACTTATAATCATCGTGTTCAAATATGGAGAAAAGATGCACTCTCGGGGAGTACGGTAGCTGGAGTAACAGGTATGAAGACTTCTGAATAGAATGCTCAGATAAAGTTCGTCTTTCGGTAAAAGAACTGATTCGATGTATGGTATCGTGTTTTCTTTTTTGACTAATGAGCTTATGTTTAAGCAAAGATATACTGTGCATTACATATACTTCTATAACAGTGGGGGATATTCAATCACTAATTTATTGAGTAACATCATTTTAAAGAAACGTGAAGAAGAAAGAACGACAGTATAGCTTACGACAGTACAAACATAATTCATTATAGAAAAGGAGAAAATTGTACTTATGCGAAATGTGAATTGGTGAAGGCATGGGAAATTCATGAACTGTATCTCCTAGGGAACTGCAAAATCACTTTTTTTAGTCCCGGTCCCGGTCCCAGTCAAATTTTTTTCCAGTCCCGGTCCCGGTCCCAGTCAAATTTTTTTCCAGTCCCGGTCCCGATCCCGATCCCGGTCTTTGACATTAGTTTCATTCCTAAAATTGAACAATTTTTTTTACGATCTATGTACTTTTATAAATACATAAAATTGACATGAATGATTTTGATTCGTTAACAGTACGAGAATTCTTTTATATAAAGTGTTAAAGTGAAAGAATTTCATTGAAAACTCGAATAAATAAAAATAACCATTGAATTTTGTTAAAAATGCTCATGTACTTCGTAGTAGTCATTTACTCATTTCTCTCTTCTTTTATATCTACTGTTCTACCTAATGGATTTATTATGGAATTGATTATTTATACTGAATCGCCATTACTATTGTCAAAAAAATAAGATAAATGGCGACACATTGCATAAAAGACTGACCGGGACCAGTATGAAAACTTTTTAGTCCCGGTCCCGATCCCAGTCCCGCAAAAAAGTCAAATTTTGGTCCCGGTCCTGGTTCCGGTCCCGGCGGGACTGGGACCGGGACCACTTTACAGTTCCCTAGTATCTCCTTCGGGTATCCTGTCGACTGAAATAATCATCTCCAAAAACAGTTAAACAATATTTTAGGAAGAGAAAAATGGTGAACCATACTTCTTACAGTTCGTCACCATCTCCAAAGCACTTTTCCTGATATGTAGAAATACGTGTAAATGTTATTTGGTTATGAATTGTCATGCGAGAGTCTTTCTGCTTAACTTTAACTATAAATGGAATGACGTAACTTCTAAATAGAAATAAATGACAGGTAGATTTTTCATCTCTTTGTTTCTAAACCTTTTTCAACAGCATGATTTTGAAGAGTGAGATTATGCACGGAATTTTTCAGTTTCAAAGGAAAGAAAAGGATTATATCTCCGTTTCAAGGCTTCTTATAACCATGAATAGTTAATAAATGCAGGCAGTTACAAGGTTATCATTGCCAATCGATGAAAAGCATAATAACAGAACTTTCTCCATAAATGGACAGCAGCGACAACAGCGATAAAAAATTTTAAAGCGTTGAACAGAAATAATGCTAAACATTTTGTTCAAAAGCACGTTTAGAATAAATGAAGACAGGGATAGAATCATGCGGGCTTTACCATAGCTCACAACAGTACTCGCACCCAGAGATATAGATAGCGGAAAAATTCATAGGGCTTCGCTGCGCGTTTAAATATGACCGAAGCTCGTATTTGTAGACGAATCATAATTTTGATAATTTCCTTTTTTAGTTTTCTTTCGGCAGAGAAGCGTCGAACTTAAGAAACAATTTAGAATATAAAAAAGTATTGTTTAATCAGTGTTCTATCATATTTTGAAAATTTCTCGAAGCAATCGCTAGTAGAAAAGAAGACTTCACTTCTTTTTATACAATCTATATTTGCTCTATTTAAAATCCACTTGATAAGATATTATTTCGATTTGGTTTCAACAGCTTTGTAAGTACTATGAACAAGAGAGATTTGCTTTTTTCTTATTATTCTTTACTTATAATTTGGTTTTGAATTGAGTATGCATGTAAGACTAATTACATCATTAAGATTTTCGCGGTCCTATATAGCACTACTACCACTGTGAGATTGAAAGTGCCGACACCAGTAACCATGTATAAGATCTGGACAGAGAAGTATGGCAAAGAAGTACCCGCAAGACTCTAATCAACGGGAAAATTCAATTGCAAATAGATACTGATGAGAATTGAGAAATGTACCATATCAAAACCAACGCTTGATTCAGTTGAGTGCATGTTTACAATGATTCAAGAGGAGTACAATAGACGAATATTGAATGATATATCAATGAAAAAGATTGAGTACGAGTGATATATTCAGCGTAGATGAAGGGGTGTATGCTGGAAGTAGGTACCAGTGTGATAATGGTTATGAGTGAATAGAAAATTTTTATTTACACAACACATGTTCAAACTTACCCATCTATACCATCCAAAAATGAAGCAAGTGAGTTGGTCTGATGTAAATGTTCAGCAGACTTGCCTTTGGTGTTTTTGAATTTCGCTAATTTGCTTTTCTCTACTTCATTTCTTGGTTATTTGTTTCATGAGCTTGAAGAGTAGTTTCATCGCTACCCTCGGCAATGATGTTTTTGAGCTTTGCCATCGCTCTAGTTATTTTTTTGCCGGAGTTGGAATGGGTAGGGATTTTTCTTTACATGTACTGGTTCCGATGTAAACTGATCAGAGTAAATGAGACAGATCGTCCTCGAGTGATTTCTCCTGCTGTAAAGCATGATGAATATCTACGGTGTTACACGTTTCTTCTAAGTCATAATTCAATTGATTATATCCAGATCCTTTTATTAAGGTAGTTTCGGCTTGCCAAATGACCGACTGTATCATCCCTTTGGTGCTGCACGTGATCCAAGAACGGGCACACTTTACATTGCTGATTATGATAACCATCGTGTGATGAGTTATTTATCCGGTTCATCGTCAGGCACTGTTGTTGCTGGTGGCAACGGACCTGGCCTGAAGAATACGCAACTTCTGTACCCTATTGCAGTTGCTCTTGATATGTCATCAGAAAGTCTTCTGATTGTTAACTGGAGAGGACACAACATAGTGCGTTGGAAGCTAGGTTCAAACAGTTGGACAATTGCCGCGGGTAATATTAATGGTGGTGCGGGAACAACATCCATGCATCTAAACAGTCCCCGAGATGTAGCTATTGATCGCTGGGGTAATCTTTATGTAGCAGATACCAATAATCAACGGATACAATTTTTCAAAGCTGGGGAACTGAATGGAACAACTATTGCGGGTATAACGAGTGCAATTGGCAATGTTGCAACGCAACTTTACTTCCCACATTCACTCATCCTAGATAATGAACTTAATTTATACGTGTCAGACAACCACAACCATCGAGTCCAAAAATTTATGCGCTACTAAAATGAATTTAAGTTAATGGTTCAGCAACGGCGAGTTTTATTAAGATACTAACTGATGATATTTATATTTGTTCTATTATGTAGAATACTATACAAATATTTCCTTGCTACCATCTTAATAAAAAATAAAGTACAACTACAATTTTTCACCTAGAAGGTCGAAGGCATATTTTCAATATTTGCATTGCTTCGATTAGAACTCGGTGCGCATCTGGATGTGGGTGAGTATCGAAGGCATTCGTTGGGTTCGTGGATGGGGCTGTGAGTGTGACGCCATCTCTGTCCCCCATTAGGTTAAACTCTGAACGGCACACCCACATCCACACTCTGATTTTCTGCTTTTTTCAAATTAAAACGAAAGCAGCTAAGATATTGATATTAATCATGTACATCAAGGTCTCCATAAGATAGAATGGTTTGAAACGACTTTTCACGGAGGGGGCACTTAAATATGTTCCCTCGGAGGTAGATGATAACTATCCGATGCTCCATTCCCGGGAAAAAATATCAGATTAAGTGCAATTATAAGCGGATTTTTGCTCAACAAAATCAACATTATAATTGACTTAAATCTTTTAAATAAGCGATAATTTGGTTTTCAATCAAAAATGATCTTCTAAATCAAGTATAATTTTCCGGGTTGGGTGTGATCCTAGAAACCAAGATTGACCGTTGGAGCATCAA